ATGATGTGCTTGTAGTTGCTAAAGGTTTTGGATAGAATATAATACCTAGAATGGATCTGCAGAAGGAAGAATAAGATGAATCTGGTAACTTAGTTTTCTTAGATATTGGAGTGTGGTTAAAGTCATAGCTGAAAAAGTGGTGGAATAGGGAGTATCCTGGTGAACAGTTTACAGTCAAGTATATATATATCCTACATATATGATTTGTGCAGTCCATGTTAATACTATTGATAATTTGCATTTTACACAAAAGCACACTCTGAAATACATGGTGTTATGGTTGGATATATTAATATGTTGTTGGTCCTATTAATGGAAACTATGCATACATTCCACTAGAAGATGTAGCATGTACTAATAACCCAGTGGATACAAATTATCATAATTGGTCTTTGGTAAGCTGAAGTTTTTAGAGAACATTAATCTTGCAACGCAAACTCAGGAGGCCAGATTCATAGGTATTTTTCATGTGATGATGTCAACCGGTAATTATGGCTAGCATAAATATTTATGTTGTTTGGGGCTATTATAGCATTGCATGTTTGGCAGTACAATTAATTTGCTTTACTCTTAAGGTTATATCTGTACAAGTTTTAGACCAATTCTTATAATTTTTTGTATAACTCAATAACTAAAATGATATATCTTTTACTAATTATATCAAAGTTTATTCGATTAAGTATGACTTATGGTTTGATATAGTTTGAATTAGTACATAATAGTTTGAAAAACTGATATCTACAACAGTTTAAATGAGATGGTTAAATCAGTATCATATAACAATTTACAACAATTTGCATGACAATGTATATTCAGATGTATATATAAGATTTACAGCAGTTTGAATCAGCTGTATAACATATCTGGTTCAGTTGCGAATAACAGTAGGTATATTCAGTTTGAAAGAATTCTGCGACGATATATTAGTAAGTATTTGTTCCCAAAATTTGATGTTCTTCTGTATTTCAGAAATGGAAAGGTTCTTAAGTATAAAGAATTATGTTATTTTTTCTTTTTGCCTTTCATTATGTATGTTCAAATAGTTTTTAAATAAATTCAGGCTAGCAGAACAAAAAGTTTGTAAGGCCATTATTAGCCTATGGTTCATGTACTGGTTGTTGATTGAATTTTTTTACACTTTTTTCTTAGATGAATATGTTATTTATCTTGGATGCAAGAGTTCAGACACAATACTTTCAAAGGAAAATCATCTATTCTTTCTTCAGTGCGAGAAGGTGAATTTTCTATTACATTTCTACTTGCTTTTAATGTTTTACCATTCAACATTCTAAAGTATTGGTATATCGCTTGCAGTGTGGATCAGGAAGATCAGTTGCTCCAATTAAAGCTGGTTTTGTTGCTCGTGTTGGCCGAAGGATTGTAGGGTCATGATTTGGCACTACTTTTTGTTTGTGTTGAAACTGGTAATATGGTGATGCCTTCTTTAATAAATAAGTTTTGTTATCCTTTTTTTTTGGTTGAAATATGTTTCAATAAAGATGATAATTGTTCATATTATTTGAGGTATTTAGGCCATTTAGGAAATAATTGACCTGAAATTTTAGAGTTTGAGTTAATGGTTTGTGAAGGAGTATGTAAATTCTGGTGCACAAAATATCCGGCTTTAGAATGGTTTTTATAACCAGATAATTCCATAAAAATTTTTTCTAAAAATTGGATAATTAGAATGGGTTGGTACTAGATAATCCCAATTTTAGAATGGTTTTTATAACCAGATAATTCCAAATGGTTGTGGTTATTGGTTTTTTTTTTTAAATTGGGTTTTTGAAATGAATGTCTATGTGAAAAATCTCTACTTTCTAGATGTCTCTTAATAAAAGATCATTTGCATTTGGTGAAAAGTTCTCCAGCAAAATCTGATGAGTTACTCTCTCTGGCAGCCTTTCTCATTGACGAGTCTTATCTGCTGATGTTGGTACATTGAAGAATGCCATGCTGAGCTAACTAAGCAATGTTATGCACAGTAGGAACCATGGTTGTCAAACTCGCGGGTAGACTCGTAAACTCGTACGAGTTTATGAGTCTAGGAAGCGAAAACGAGTAAACTCGCACATAGAATCATTTTTTGATAGACTCGAGTAGACTCTAGTAGACTCGCATAAACTCGTATAGAGTCGCGAGTCTATGGCGATTTTACGAGTCTATAAATTTTTTAAAATTTTGTTTTTTTAACCCAAAAAAGTCCCAAATACCCCAAAAGATTTTATTTTATTTAAAACCCTCCCTTTTTTTTTGCTTGTACGAGGATTAGAAAACCTCTCTCCTAGTCTCTTGTTTCACCAAAGTTTCTTCCTTCTTTCATCCCTTCATAGATGACGTGTGTTTATTATATCTCTTTCTTTGTTTGCATTTGTTCCCGTAAATCAATCATTTGTTGTGTAATCATTTGTTATGGAGTATGAAATTTAAATTTTGATGTTAATTTGTATTCTATTATATATATATATATATATATATATATATATATATATATATATATATATATATATATATATATATATATATATATATATATATATATATATATATATATATATATATATATATATATATATATATATATATATATATATATATATATATATATATATATATATATATATATATATATATGAGGCATTTACAAGTTTAAAATACATGTGTGTGTCATGTATGTGTCACATACAGGTTTTTGCAAGTCATTGTTAATTTTCCATAGACTCGTACGAGTTTGCGAATCGAGTCTGTGAGTCGAGTTTACAGACCCTTTACGAGTCTGCGAGTCGAGTTTATAGACCCTTTACAAGTCTGAGTAGACTCGCTAGTTTGACAACCTTGGTCGGAACTAATGTTTTTTGGCGAGGTCTTCTCGACGAATGAGTTTATTAATTTTATTTCATATCTGCTCTCTAATTTCGTATCTCATATCCCCATATGTCATTCATTTTTACATATCTCAAACTTTTACTCTTAAATTCTACCATTGACAACTATCCTACTTTAAAATTAGATATTCATTATGCGTGAATATTAATCTCAAGATTAACTCTAAGCAGATGTTATATGTTGAATTATCATTAACAGCTATACGAGTAACTTGTATCTATGAGGCCAAATCACATGTTAATTGATTTATAATTTATTTAGATTTACTTGCAAATAACATTCCTAAACTATTGCATTAGTGGGTTCAAGCCCGACCTATTTCTCTAAAAATAATAAGAGATGGATTTTGTAACATCTGCTTCCTGCTCTGAAGTGATTGTTTGGACTAACATTTCTATTACGACCGTGAGAAACTTCACTTAATTTGTTTTTCCATGTATGCAAGTAGGTTCATAGTAAAGTACGTCAGAGACGACTTAATGCCGATGAGTTCATCGTGTCAACAATGCTTAGGAAGAAGGAAAGACAACATCAGAAGAGAAGGACTATTCCAAACTAGAATCTGTCATGATTAAAAATTTCGATTTGCGAAGGTAATTCTTATTTATCTATTTCATTATAGGTAGATACTGTTGGATCATTTGATTTATGTGAACTTGCAAATCCATTCTAATTATGCAACATGTCTACTTGCAAGTGCATTATACTTTTGTTATTATTAGAATGGAAAAGTTTATATTTTTTGCTCCATGTTTTGTTGATTGGATGTTAAACTATAAGCAATATATCATGATCAGTAAGGCTTCATTGAAGCATGACTAAGATAAATCTGTAATGTGTAAGTAATATTAATATTACAATGATGGTTTCTTATTTAGTTTCGCTTTTACTTACATCATATGGCAAAAAATTTGCTACTACACCAACACAATTGAAGATTTTTAACTGTTGTAATAAAAAATTGAAAAATTCGCTGGTCATCCCATAAGTTTCATGTGTTTTTTCTTTTTATATTTTGTGGTCATACCAAATTATTTTCCTGTTTACTAATTGTTTTTAATTTAATTATTAGGAATTTTTCTGGTGTATGATCTTCACCGAAGATGGCAAGTATATTATTTCGAATCCCACTTTTGCAAGATATGTTGTTGTTTGGAAATTAAATGTTGCTAACAAGCATTCAATCAGTTTTATTTTTGCAATGGAGCACTCTGTTGTATTTCTTGATAACATGTGCATTTATAAATGAGAACATGTTGAGGATGTGTTCGTTATTTATGGTTTGAAAATAGTATTGAAGAGTTTCAAAACCTAAAATCCGCTGAAATATCATTACTATTGGAAAATATATCCACCAAATATTTTCATATACCATATCTATTATTTGGTTAATTGGTTAATTTTGGGAGTCAATGAATTTCCCAAATATTTTCATATCCAATTTCTAGCACACTTTTAAATTCATCTAAGTGAATTTCTTCTAATAATAGATAAATGTATTGAAAAAGTGTACTAGATAATATAATGATAGTATTCATATTTGAATAATAAAGAAGATCTAGATTTATATGCATGATTTTTTTCCAAGTAAAAGTGCTTTCAAAATATTCTCACATAAGTTCTTAAATAATACAATTAAACAACTATCATCCGATACTTCATGATATTGTATCCATGACAACTTTCTTGAAACCCACCAATGCAATAGTTTAGAAATTTTATTTGGAAGTACATCTAAATAAATTATATATCAGTTAAAATTAATTAATCCGTGCGGACGCACGGATCCTTTACTAGTATTCTATTAAAAACAAATTTTAACATACTATAAATAATACTATAGAATATCAAACATACATTTTTTTCATTATGCAATTCAAACATACATCAAAGATTTGATAATCGATACCAAATTAACCAAACATACATCAATGATCTGGTCATCGATACCAAACTATCATAACATAAAGAGTTACAACCATAGTTTAGAACTAACTTGTTTTATTTAGAATACATAAAATCTGGTATTGCACATCATAGTTCTTCTTACATACTTATATCACGTTAACAGTTTGAACATGAAGCTTCCAAGTTGTGCATAACCAAGTTAGCATCTAGATGGCACAAGGACGCTCAACAGAAAAATCAGGCACCCAAGCAGCAGCCTTATTGCCAATGAAATGGCAAACAGAAACAGTTCCAGGGCTAACTTTGAGAGCTTCGTAAAGCAACTCAGGGTTCATACCTCTTGTATCATGATGACAGACTGTTAAAGCCTTTGCCTTGGTTCCATCAGGTGCTGCCAATGAGACCACGTAAGCGGTTGTTGCACGCACTTGGTGGCAATTGAATACAACTTTTTCGAAATTCAATCTATGACACATCACTGCATTGTCACCAATTTTTTTGACTTCCTCCACCATATATTGATCTTGATTTATGTCAAAAGTACTTGAAATAGTCTTAATCTTTGATGTTTCAAAATGTGAAATGACATGATCAATCATAGATTCTAAAGATGATACACAATGTTTGCGTTCTCCTTTAGCAGTTGGGCTATTACAAAAGTCATCTAGACTTTGTCTTTGTTTATTTTTCAGCCATATGGAATCAGTCACACCTTGTATTGGTTCTGTGAGTGGTCTTTGCAACAGACTGAGTGTTACCCAATACTATTTTCTTTCCAGGATAAAGATCATCCTGAAAAAATAGTGTCGAGTATTGGTTTAATTCTTCCAATCTAATAGGCAGGTTGTTGGTTTTTCCATCTGTCGTATGAAACAACATATTGATTAGTTCAAAAACCATTATAAATAGTCTTATTATAAGGCAACATTTCATTATATATATAATTCATGTTACTAACAAGGAAGTAGAAGATCTGAAAAAGCCTTAGGGAGAGGAGTGTTTGGCCAGACATATTTCCAATAATCTTCTCCGGATGGTATGGCACCAGTTCTCACAAAAGCCAACTGCAAAAATAAATTCACATTTTCCATAGTAGTGTTGAATTCAAAATGATTAAAGAATTTCTTCCTCATTCCTTCTTATAAAAAGTTGATGACAATTTCAACCAAAAACCAAATATGCATTATATAATAGAGTAGAAAATAGATAACTTACACAAAAGAGAGCTAAAACTGTGATATGTGAAAACTTCATTTAGCTAAATCTAAAGAACTGATAAATGTGAAAAGTGTACCGAGTGTGTGAAACTGTTACAAGTTTCTCATTATTTATAATTGCATGCAAAACTTGTGTTATTGATCGTATCGATTCTTCCAAGTGGTAACAAAGTTGGTGCCAACTTATTACCCAATACAAATAGTTGGGTAACGTTACACAACTGAAGTGGCGCATGTCTATTTGTTCATTGATAGGTCATTTATCATATCACTGAGATATATTTTCAATTGCTGCAAAATTCTTAGTAATTAGAAATTTAATAAAGTGTATTTTCAAAACAGGAAACATCTCCCAAGTCAAACACGTCCTACAAGACTGAATTTGCCTTCTTAAATCCTAGAGATATTCAAACAAAAAAAATACAACTTTTATATTGAATTCTAATAAGCATGAGTGTTATTTGTTTTGGCTATTTTTTATTTTATTTTCTAAACTCAATACTAAATATACCGTTCAACATAATTAAATTACATAACTTTTTTATATTTTTACAAAGTTTCTTACATGCTACTAAAATAATTAATGTTATAACATGTTTATTTAATATATATCTATGCAAATTTTTTATAATAATTTTTTTATATTTATATTTGGTGACTATGATAAGAGATACTATACAAAATTTATTTATTATACTTTATCTTAAATAAGTGCATAGTTAATGAATTTAATATATTAAATCATTTTTACTATTTTATGTTAGAGGAGACAAAAGATTCGTTTAATGACTATTATATTATAAAGAAGTTCATGACGATTTTAAACAAAAATAAAGTCTAAATTGCATATAACTTACACAAAAGAGAGTCAAAACTGTGATATGTGCGAACTCCATTTAGCTACTAAAGTGATAGTATGAAGAGTTTAGTGCATGTGTATGAAACTGTTACAAGTTTCTCGTTATTTATAGGCAAATACATACCTATAGTGCATGCAAATCTTGTCTTATTGTTCATATTGACTCCTCCAAGCGGTAACAAAGTTTATGCAAATGTCATCCATGCAAAACGATTGCATTATCTCCTTGTGCACATGGCTTCCATGCATATCACCTCATTCTATTCAAAGCCTGTGTTTGGTTTAAGTTTCTGTCTAAATTGGAGTACAAACTTTTTGTGCAAATGGCGTCCATGCAGAAAGATACCATTAATTAGTATCCAAAGCTTATGATACCATTCACCACTTTGATTCTCCTTGAGCATAGCAAATGTATAGCATAGCATGTGCATAATATTTATTTCCTGCATTGTTTTGCAGAACTGTTTTAAAGACTCCAATACTTTATTAAAGCGCCTCAAGATATTCTTTTATTATAGATCATCATGTTCAGCCTTAGTTAATATTTTTGCTTTTGCTTTAAAAAGTTTATATTCATATTTAAAACGTTTTTTTATATCAAACACGTAGGTAGGGTCTGTATGGTTTAAATGAGAAGGAGGGGAGGTGAGGGATTTTAATGAAGGGAAGGGGAGGGGAGAAGAGATGACGAAATTTTTTAATTAGATAAGTGTTTGGTTCAAAAGAGAGGAAGGAAGAGGAAGTGAGACATTTTAATTAAAAATGTGTTTGATTCAGAAGGGGAGGGGAAAAGTTTTATTAATAATTTTCATTTTTATCCTTATGATCTTATATAAGTCATATGATATTAAAATGTAAAAAATTCATGTGTATTTTTGTTGGTAATAAAATTTCTAATATTGAGTGATTAAAAAAATATTTATTTGTCACATAAAGTTAAAAAATTGAGTACAATTGATTTGATTTATAACTTTCCAACATAAATTAAACTATATGTCAATAACATTGTTTAATTTGCGATGAATCATATAACAAAAAAAATATATAAAAATAACTTTTTATTAAATATTAATGGTTCAAAATATTTAATAAAATGAATAAACAAAAATAAATAAAATGAATGGTTTACAATTTGATATAAAAGAAAATAGGATAGAATACATAACAAAATTAAAAGAAAAAAACGAATATAATTAAACATAATTTGTTTTTATAAAAAAAGACAATGATTATAATTTATATTAAGTATAGAAATTATAAAATAATTTGAAGGTGGAGAACAATTATAATAAGTTGATTGAAACAATCGAGAAAAAGCAATAACACAAAAGAAAACAAATAGTTTTGAAATACTAAAATTAAACTGATGATATTTTAGTAAATATAATAATTTTTAAATATCAAAACTCATATTCCCTCCCCTCCCCTCCAAATCCCCCCAATTCGGAGGGAACAAAAAAATTATATTTTGGAGGGATTTTGCTTCCCTCCCCTCCCCTCCTAAGATTTGAACCAAACATATTTAATTAAAAATTTTCCCTCCCCTCCCCTCCCCTCCATCTACCCCGAACCAAACACACCCGTAGAGTTTGTCAATTTTTTTAATTTTATTTGAAGGAGGGTTTACAGTCCAAAAAAGGAAGATTACACTGGTAACAATCGAGAACTCAGAAGATCCCTGTAACACCCCGTTTCTCAAAAATAGACTAAATGCAATTTAAATCAAAAACAAATATCAGAGTTGCCACACCAACACGGGATGTCACAGAACAGAAAACTCAACAAAACACTTCATTTATGTGAATTTAACAATAAGCAGCGAAAATCGTCATATAAATATATACATATAAACATCATGTACAACAATATTCGGCCCTTCCGCCCAAAATACACAAAATATATCCACCAAAAGGATTCATCACAACATGATACGACACGAAGTCACAACAAAATCATCAGATAAACAAATAACTCCCAAAAGCCTCGTGTTATGTATCAGAGCATCCCTACGACTCGACTCGCCACTATCCAAGCTAGCTACGCACCTGGATTGTCTGCACTTCTGAAAAAGCACAGACCACAACAACAACAACAAGGGGTGAGAAGTCATGATCAAAATATAACGGAAATAATGTACATGAATAAAAGGCAGTAATCAAACAAACATCATTCAACATACATCAACCCGGACCTACAGTCCAACACCGACACAACACACATTGTAGAAGCATACTTCAATCTCAAGGTTTTGATGATGTCAACAAGACTTAAGCTCATTCCATGTTTGCAAAAAGTCAAGCTTTCATTTTGATCAAGATCAACACTATGCAATGGTGTCATGCAAATCAAGCTTCATGTGCAAATGATCAAACAACTTTCAAGACTTGGACACAAGGTTTTGGTATATCAAATCTCACTCTTTTAATTGATATACAAGTGTTCAAATAATTTATCATATCAACATATTGCATATGCATGGTTTTAAAATTAATTGGAACTGGTATAACACTTTTAACTTAAGTATTTTTCTGAGTTTTAACAGTGTTAACCGATTAACCATATGGGTTAATCGGTTAACGACCTCAAATTTTAAATTCTCAGGGCTAACATTCAATTGTTAACCGATTAACACTGAACAAATTTTGAAAAATTGTTTCTTTCCAAATTCAAATCTTGTTTAATTGTTATACCTTTTCATTATTTGAATCATACACATTTATACCTTTTTGAAATGGTGTTTTGACTCATATAAATTCTGGAAATTTCAAATTGAAAAACACCTCCAATAATTTTCAAAATAATCATTCAATCAAATTCACTATTTTTCAAATACTTTCAAATATTTCAAAAAGTGTTCATAGTGTTCATACCATTTCATATCCAGAATTTTTGAACACTTGTATTGATATTGAAAAGTGAATTTTGATCAAAAGGAGAAGATCAATCATTGTATTGATATTATTATTATCACTCTCAAATAAAAAAAAAGAATTACAAAATTATTTCTATTGTGACTTGTGATCCAGGATTGTTGGACACAAGGGTTAGTGTTTGCAAGAGGATTGTTCTTGCACACTAGTTGGTGAATAGTTGTTAGATAGTAGGCCTCACCGGTTGATGGTGTGATAGGTTGTACATTCTAAAACTATAGTGAAAAATCTCTTTCGTGTGGAAAGGAGAGTGGAGTACCTTCAGATTGTGAATGGAACCACTATAAATCTCTGTGTCCTTTTTCATTATGCTTTTTACTACTTTCATCATCAAGATCATAACCAAGTAAAATTCAAGAATCTCGAAAAATCGGTAAAAGTTTCTAAAGCCTAATTCACCCCCCCCTCTTAGGCGTACTCTGAACTTACAGTTGGCATCAGAGCAGGTTAAGGTAACCTGTTCCTAACGATTCAGTATGGCTTCCGCTAGCACCAACCCGGTTTTCAAAGACGGTGGAAGTAGTAACAAACCACCACTGTTTTCTGGAGAATATTTTGATTTTTGGAAAATTAGAATGTAGGCGCATCTTGAAGCCCAAGGAGAAGGTATATGGGAAGCAATCGAAGAAGGACCACACAATCCAGTAAATGTGGTCAATGGCGTTGGAACCGCAAAGTTGAAATGCACGTATGATGAAGATGATAAGAAAAAGATTCTTAATGAAAAGAAAGCAATCAACATACTCCAAAGCGCTCTTAGTATGGATGAGTTCTTCCGTATATCACAGTGTAAATCGGCAAAGGAGATTTGGGACACCTTGGTGGAAACGCATGAAGGAACCGCCGAAGTAAAAAGATCAAGGCTCAACACGTTAAGTCAAGAATATGAGATGTTCCGTATGCAACCCGGTGAATCTATTGTTGCCTTACAAAAGAGATTCGTTCATCTAATAAATCACTTGATTGCTCTCGGGTAGACCTTCACCAATGATGATCTCAACCTGAAAGTCCTAAGATCCTTAACAAGAGAATGGCAACCAAAAGTGACCGCTATTTCGGAAAAGAAGAGCCTCTCAACGATGGCATCCGCATCCTTATTTGGCAAACTTCAAAAGCACGAATTGGAACTTGGAAGGCTCGAGAAGCACGAAAGTCAAGAAAAGAAGTCCAAAGGAATTGCCTTGAAGATTGACACAAAGGATGACAAAGACGACGAGACTTCCGAAGATGAAAATTTCATGCTTCTTGTAAAGAAGCTTGGTAAGTTTTTTAATAATAATAAAAATTCCTCTTTTCCTAAAAAGAATAGACATTTCAGGAAAAAGGATGTATCCACATCGAATCAAGAAGTCACATGTTACGAATGTGGGAAGCAAGGTCACATAAAGCCGGATTGCTCGAAACTTGCAAGAAAGGAGGATTCAAAGGCAAGAAGGATTTCAAAAATAAAAAGGCTTATGTTGCTTGGGACGATAATGAGATAAGTTCATCATCGGAATCGAAAAGCGATGAATGTGCAAATATGGCTCTTATGGCGTCACATCATTCCGATGAAGACATTGATGAGGTTAGTAGCAATTTTTCGGTTTATGACAATGATGCACAAGAAGTCATAGATGAACTTCTAAAAGAATGCAAGACCTTGTATAAAATCATCTCATCCCAAAAGAAAATAATTTCATTTTTAGAAGAAGAAAATACTGCTTTTATAAAAAATATTGAAGATGAAAAACAAAAATTGATGGATGAAAAACAAAGTCTTGTATGCAAAAATTGTGAATCCTTATATTTTCAAATTGTTCAACTAAAAAGAGTGTTAGAAAGATACGAAAAAGGTCAAATTGGCTTGGAGGAAATTCTTATGCACCAAAGATATCCTAATGATAAAAGTGGATTAGAATATTCTAAGTTTTCCAAACCAAACACAAATAAAACCATTTTTGTGAAAGCAAGTGAACAAGTTGTTAAAGAAAAGGCAAACACTTCTAAAACTATGCATCAAAGTCATAAAAAGAAAAGAATTGTGAAGAAAAAGAATTATGTTCCTAGATATATAAGTCATTTTCAACCTATTTGTTTTTATTGTGGAATTAAAGGTCATACACCT